CCTTTCTTTATTAAATATAACCAGCCTCATCTAACGAACGGCGTGTAGCGGAGGGGGGCTGTAAGCCACCATCCAACAGTGTTTGCTACAACAACACACACACACACACACATACATACACACACACACACACACACACACACACACACACACACACACACACACACACACACACACACACACACACACACACTCTGCACACATTCACTAAGCCGAGAAAAGTATATCCGGTCACTAAGATCTGATATTTTAAGGTTAAGTCAACACATATCGACCCTAAATAATAGTCTATAGTATATTAATATCGTTATTTGTAAACATATCCTCCTGGGACTCGAGGAAAAAAAGTGTCTTCCAATTGCCTTTTTTTTGTGATTTCCTGCCTATTTAGGGTTAAAAAAAGCATCTGGCAATTTAGACTTTTTTTATTTAATTTAATTTTTAAATGTTACAGTATGTCCACTGTAGAGGACGTCGGGACCATTTTAGTTTGAAAAGACAGACAAAATTAACAGATAGACTATGTAACGTATTATGGTTATAGAGTGATATTAATACAATAATACATTCACCTTTATTTAAAACATAAATAAGTAATTGATCTGAACATTGCTGTTTATTTGGTCACTAAAAAACTAGTTTGGTTTTTGGTGAATCTTTCCAGATCTTCAAAGACTTTGTAGTCAATGTACTGGAAAAGTACCTAATTGACTCCAGTCGGCACAGGCTGTAGGGTCATCTTGACTAGTTTTATGGATGTGGTCTCCATTTGACCATGCTCATAGAAACAAAGCTTGCATTCCTGAGGCAATTCTCATTTTTCATGGCTCCACTTAAAATAAAAACAACAATAAGACATACGTGCTCTTGGCCCACAGAGGGCCATGTCTTTCCATCTGTCTCTCTGTCTGTATCTGTGCGCTCATGGAGCCTCCTGCATCTTCTCCCCCCTTCTTCTTGACCCAGGTGTGAAATCCTCATCTCTCTCATTATCTGAGAGCTCAAAATCTTAATCTCCCTTAACTATCTGGTACAGAAAATGTCTGCTTCAGTTCCGTCTCCTGCAACAACATTGAGTCATTAAATCCATGAAGATGGTCCTGACGTCCACTAGAATGGACATTTATAAAAGAGCTGTTATTTGAAAACTTGAATTATTTAATTACTTTCAGAACTAATTATATAGTTCCTCACATGTTAAAGGTCGGGTAGGTAATTTTGGAGAAAACAAGCTGTAATTAATGCAATTAATTAAGTGTAACAGGACATTTTACACACCTTGACGTAATGCTCAACTGAGAGGATTTCACAGTTTTGGATGGAGCAATTTGCATCGGCAGGAATCTTCACTTAAGATTTCTTCTTGGCATGAGAAAGTTTCCTCTGAGCCCGATGTGATAGTTTCCCCCTCCATTTTGTACAGACTTAGGTCACTGACATCAGTGGAGGCTTCGGTGCGGTACACTATTCTCTGCTGTAAACTGACTTTGGGCTTCAATTTTTTCGATCAAGAGTTGCAGATTCTGGCAACAACAGTTAAAGTGTCACCTATCAAAAACAAATCATAACATCTGATTATGCAAATATTCCTTTGTAAAATAAGATGACCACAAAAAAACAATTACACATACAGTTTACATACTGTATTAAACTGGTGATTTTACCTGGAGAGCAAACCTTCATGTTAACGGTAGCAGACATTTGCACCTTTCCTTTGTCTTTTTCCACTGAACCAGACTGGGGACACTAGAACAAATAATACAGACAAACATGATTTCATATCAACTGAATGCCTCATACAGTGGAAATTATAAATTCAGTTGAAAAATGTATTTCCCTTTCCCTGTTTCCCTTTAGATTAGGCCATCCTGATTCCTCAAATGTTACATATCATAATGGGAAAACTATCCATAATATATAACTGAATTTTCTCCATTCCAGACTTCATTCAGACATATTCTGTTTAAAACACAACTCCTCTAGAAAGTGAAATAGTGGATCAAATTCATAGCACGTTTTATTAGGGTTCCATTTACCATTAAATAGCCAGGGTGTGACAAGCACTTTGACACAAACTTGAGCTCTTTCTGGACTACAGAAGATGGACGCCAGCTCCTGGACATCTTTGCTTCAAGCATGTAGATAATTTTTCCATGATACCCCTTAAAGGATGACGGCATGTCCCTGTAAGACAGAACAAGATGCAGTAATTGGTCAAAAGCAAACAATGACACTAGATGCTAGTAATGTGTACTCACTCCTGTGGGATTGTGAACCTGAACCCTTTTGGGAGTGCAGTGCCTGCAAAATAAGTGAGATTGATTTACACTTTTTGTAGAGACCTGACAAATGACAGAGGCTTTATTTACTCAGCAGAGCATATTTAGGCTACTTTGTGCATGCGTATTAGATTGAGGGAATTGGGTGGTTCCATGGAGTTCCTGTGCAGCCCTATCAATTTCTGTTTATTTGCAGTAGGTCAAAATGTGTAGATGTATACAATATAAAGCATAATAAAGTATATGGTACACATGAGAAGACAACATTCATTCAAGATGCATTTTTAGGCTACCTGTCAATGTCAGCAATGCAAAAAAAAGTAGGGCTATTAGCATTTTTGTATATTTTCTTAAACAGCTTATTATAAGTAATGGAAGTGTAATTTGCAGGTAAATCATTCATATGAGAAGCAACCAGTGCAGAGATTACCAATATTAAAAGCAATACAGGTAGGCCAATATATCAACCCTAACACATAGATCTATCTTATCAAACTAACACCCATAATATTAAAATAACATAAATTACATCCAAGTGTTGAGAAAAGTTGCGAAAATCAAAAGGCCAACGCATTTATATTGCCTACCTTTGTCATTTTCTGGCACTAATGGCGCATTTCCACTACAGGGCCTCGCTCGGCCTCGCTCGGTATGGCTAGGCCTCGTTAGGCCTTGTTAGGACTGTCTCACTTTATGCTGCGTTTCCATTACAGTTTAGTAGCTGGGCAGTAACTATAGTAACGCAGTGTAGGCGGAGCCGTGACGTCATCTTCAATGAGAACCACAGAAAAACAACATCAGCCGTTAGCTGTTAGCACTCAAGCTCACAGCTCCTCATATCTGTTCAGAAACTAGACAAAACTTAAACAAGTACAAGCCACAGACTGCCTGTGTCATGGTGAATACAGTCGCTGGTTTATTTATGTCTGTATAGGCCGTTGTTGTGAGTGTGGACGGTCGGAGCATATACTGCGTTAGCTTAGCCCATTTCCATTTAGAAAACACGCATTTTAAAAGGTTTTTTGCCTGCCGTCTGTCTGCAGACTTGTCGAAGCATTAATTCATGGTTTTTACTAACCGGTATCAGTATGTTGTTACTTCGGCATCATTTTTTAAACGTGTATTACAATTAAATCAAGGTCAAATATGTTCATTTTGTTGTAGTTGTAGTCCCCTTGCCAGCGATTCTCTCTCTAGTTTAGCATACTCAGCCCAGTATCTCCTGTGCGCAGTTGATCTCCGGTTCCCTCTATCTAGTGTACACAAGCGTTCCCTTTGACTTTCACCACCAGCACCTTCACTCCGGTTTCTTTAGTCAAAGCGAAAGTGACTGTGCCTGCGATAGTATCTCCTTGAGAAATAAATCCTTTCTCGTTGGGAGCTTCGTAAATCACATTGAAGTCCTTAATTGGAGACATTTTGGATCGGTAAAACGGGCTCTGTTTACCACAGGTGTGAGTGACTACAGGAAGGGGAGGATGGGTTTTATAGTGTTCAGTGAATCTGTCGTGCAAGTTGTGTGGGTTACTGTGCGGCTGAAAATGGGCGCAGCTTAAATTCCCTCCCCTGGTTTCAGCGCTAAAGGTTATTTAAGGTGTGGCTCACATAATGTTGAAACCTTTAATACAACATACTGTTAAAGGTGGGGTATGTAATTTTGGAGAAACCAGCTCGAGTGCGCTAGAATTTGAAAATACACAACCAGAACAAATCTGCCACTTCCTTACAGAGCCCCTCCTCCAACACACACGAACGCGCACATGACCAATGAGGGCACGAGATAAGTTTGTGCACAGATGGAAGGCTGACAGGCAGGTAGGCCATCCAGTTATTTTAGCCGGGCCGGCTAAAATGATTGGTCGTGCTTTTTACAGCGCTACGGCTTCCACAGATGACATTTTTGTATGTATTTATTGTCAAAGCATTTCATATATTCATTGCTATCGGGATGTTAAGAGCATTCCATGGAATATAACAAAAAGTGTTTTTGAAATAAATTACATACCCCACCTTTAAGCAAACCAGGTATTACAACAACATACACAATCAGATATACAGGTTTTACACCACTTAAGTGCCCTATAAATAACGTTATCTTAAAATATAGGGAAAATGATATTAGTAATGTTATAATTCTTAAGCTATTTCAATGGTATTCGTGAAATTACAAAACTGGAATTAACTTGTTAAAAAACAAGAAGAAAGCTATATTTCATAATCTGTACCGACTGATCTCAAATATTGCTTTTCGTGATGGTGGGTAGATTTTGCATTGCACATTTCCATGTAATATGTTTTGATGTGGTCCTGAGAGAATGGTATTGAAAGTGATGGGCAGCCACAGGTAATGTGTTTGAGGTCATAAAGAGACACTGGAACTTGATAATTATGTCACCCTTTGTTTTTATCTATTTTATATTGTACATGGCCTTTTTAGATCTGATTCTAGTCAACCCATTTTTTTATTTATTTGTATTATATTTAAATGTGCTGTTGTAGTGTGTAGAGGTTTGTATATACTGTACAATATTACTAAATGAAAATACATAATGTTTAAAAATGAGAATAAGTGAAATTTCAAATAGCTTATCTATAAATACAAAAATATAGGTATGTCATGTTAATATGAGAGATATCAGAATCAGGAGATAAGTGTTGTGCTGCCTTGTGGCTTAGACTTGAAAACATAGAACAGAATACAATTTAGTGTTCACACTTACATTGAATATGTAAAAGTCTTTATTGAAATCTACAGGGGAAAAAATGGCAGTTTGAGAGTATTAGATATCAGGTTTGCAAAGAATTGGGTATTTATTAGAAATAAATGTTTTCTGGTATAAAATGAACAGATTGTAAAATACAAAGAACATTCAGGCCTATATTTTACCTCTAAGCTATCCAGTTTCTTCAAATAGCTTCCAAACATAAGTGAGGTAGATAGAGTATGTAGCCTATAAACAATAAAACTGAAAGATTGATCAGTTAAAGACACCTGAGTTAAATAAGGCACGTGAAATACACAGTCAATACTGAAGGCTGAAGTTTGAGTAATTATGTTGGCAGCTGGCAATGATCATTCTGAATTGACCATCACACAACCATCACATACAATGCATAAGTGATATTTTGGGTATACTTTTTTACATGCAAAAAGTTAAGATGCCTTTTCAATCTCACATTCATGCTTAGAAATCAACAACAAAAATAAAGACATGACCGGACATGACTGATTAAAACTTTTAACTATTAGTTTTTTTACATCATGATTAATAAACCAATCCAGTCATCGAGCAATCATACTATTATTTTGCATCTGATTTGTCAGTAGCAGTGGAGGGGAAAAGGAGTGTATATGCTGGAGGAGCTTCATCCGATTGACTCAGGAAGTCTGTGTTCATCAGGTTGTACGATGGAGCCGTTGGGGATACATTGAAGGGTGAAAAAGAAGGGGGTGGGTTGATCGCTGGGAGAGATGGGGCTGGCGGGATCGCTGGGGCAGCTGGGGGTGTTTGAAATGTTGGGGCAGTTGGCAGAGGGTGAATCACAGAAGATGAAAATGGAGTTCCATACGGAAAAGGTATCTCAGGCACTTGGTTGTTGTAGGCCCCACTCACATGTGCGGGCTGAGCAGGGTAAACACTTGGTGGACAAGGAAACACCATTGGGTTACCTGGGTACACAGGTGGTGGTGGTGCTGAATACATTGGGGCTCCTGGGTTTCCAGACCTGCCTGAGGATGGGGAGACAGGATAAGGATGCCCAGACACTACAGGGGAAGGGAAGTCGCTGTTGCTTGGGCCCCCAACAGCCCCCGCTGGATAAGGACCTGCAGCCACACCAGGCTGAGGGACAGGAGCAAAGCCTAAAGGAACAACGACCACTGGGAAGAGGACCTCTGGATCGAAGGCAAAGCTGATGTCCAGATACGCCTAAGAAAAATATGACAGCTTAATTAGGACTTCATTGACAATTTCTTAAAGGTAGGGTAGGTAAGTTTGAGAAACCGGCTCGAGATACACTTTTTATTTATATTCCATGGAATGCTCTTAACATCCCGATAGCAATGAATATCTTCAGTGCTTTGACAAAAAATCCATAAAAAATGTCATCTGTGGAAGCTGTAGTACTGTAAAAAGCATGACCAATCATTTTAGCCGGCCCGGCTAAAATAACTGGATGGCCTACCTGCCTGTCAGCCTTCCATCTGTGCACAAACTTATCTCGTGCCCTCATTGGTCATGTGCGCGTTCGTGTGTGTTGGAGGAGGGGCTCTATAAGGAAGTGGCAGATTTTCTCCGGTTGTGTATTTTCAAATTCTAGCGATCTCGAGCCGGTTTCTCAAACTTACCTACCCTACCTTTAAGGCAGCTTGTTATTCTTTACAATAAAGATACACTGTTGCCTACCTTTAAATGATATTCCACTGAGAGGATGTCACAATTCTGGATAGTTGTTGTCTGATCGAGAGGAATCTTCATTCTACACCTGACTTCCAGCTCTGTATGGGCTTGAATACGGTTTTCGACCACTTTGATGAATGTGCACTCCTCGCGTTTGGTACTACCGCTAGCACGGTAGATCACCTTCTTGCCCAAACGGAATTTGGGCGTCATCTCACTGGACGAGGAATTGTTGATTTTGGCCAAAACTGTGATAGTTTCACCTATGAGGAAAACAACATAACATGTATTGTTCATTTTGTATTCATTGCCGCATAGAACAATGCACTGTGCTAAAGAGTGTGTCTCATATGAAGGCAGATTATTGTTATGCCTGTGAGACACAACTTATCCACTTTATATCAACAGAGTTAAAAGGCTCAACCCCACCCACTTATTATTTTATTCATGCTACCTTTGTCTGATCAATTCCTTAAATCAAAGGGATTAGGCTACTTCCTTCAAATTACTTTAAGCAAAACATTATTTTTAGCAACACTTTCTTTTTTATTAAAACCATCACTGACAACAGACTAATGACTGATGACGGACGTGCTTTTCCTGGAATTACATGTCAACATGTCTGTTGTGAAACAAACCTACTACAGTTCCCTGAATATTGTTCTTGTTGGCAATAGTAACACTTAGGATATGACAATTCAACTATAATATCACCAGTACTTTAGTTTTATTAAAAATAATTCCCTGTTTTGCAAGTCTGTGATAAATGGTTTTCTGCATTTATCATAGAGAGGAACACTTTCCATGAGTTGAACCTACCCTGTTTAAAGGGGACTGTTTATTACCTGGGGCGTAGGCCATCCTGTCAATCGTGACTTCCATGTCTGCTTGTCCTTTGGAGAAAAGTCCCATCTCTTTCTTTATTGCACCAATTTGGGGCAACTAGAACACAATAAACAGAGAGAATTATTACTTTTGATCCACTTCCAATACAGTGCATGATTAAGTGTTTCAGTTGTGGGGCAGAATAAGAAACATGAGTCCTTGGGACCAGGACTGTGTGTCACTCACATTTCCTGTGAATATTATTGTTGACTGTACACGAACATATGTCATTACTGTACATGGTGAGCAATTTCACTAGAACAATTTTCTACTGAAGAACGTTGCAAAAACATTTTCTTTTAATTTAAAGTGCACCTATTATGCTATTGAAAAATATATTGTAGGGCCATACCTATACAAAATATGTCTGTGAAGTTTTTTTGCATAAAATACCAAACAGATCACCTATTGTAGCCATGCCTCATACTGCTCACACCCCTCTTTTGCAGGCCTGTTAGAGAAACGCACATTTTGGGTCCTTAGCTTAAAAAAAAAAAAAGAGGAGGCGGAGCTAATGCCTGATCAGAATTCTACCGGAGATAAAGTTAAATTCTGCTGTGATAAAACGCCATCTTGTTCTAAACCACATCAAGGATTATTTCTGAAACAGTATGGAGCTCCAATGCTTTTTCTCTTGCGGGTTTATCACAAGGTGAGTTCCTTTTTTTATTTCCTGCTTTTTAACACTAGAACCGCCAATCGGGTCAATTTGACCCAGAGCTGTTTTTTATTGCGTGTAACTTTTTTTCAATAAAATATTAAAGTCTTCCAGTCCGTGACTTTTCCTGAAAGTGTGTTATGTAGCACCCTATGTTGTTAAAAATTGTCAATATGAAGTCAGATTGAAGAAATCGCCCAAAAAATTGCCATTTATACCTATTTCCGCCAAGCGGGTCATATTGACCCCATCCCTTTTCATATAAACATGACGTGTTGCTATAGCAATGCCTTTTGTCTACTGCGGTTCCTTATAGATTGAGAGATAGATTGAGAGAGAGAGAGATAGATGGATAGATATATTGATAGATAGTTATAGATAGAGAGATAGAGAGAGAGAGAGAGAGAGAGAGAGAGAGAGAGAGAGAGAGAGAGAGAGAGAGAGAGAGAGAGAGAGAGAGAGAGAGAGAGAGAGAGAGGAGAGAGAGAGAGAGAGAGAGAGAGACAGTCTGTAGTGAAGGAGTGCGCTCCCGCCAACGGGAGACTGCTCGCGCTGCCTGTGGGGCGAGTTGAAAGTACATTATGCTGGCCGCGGTGTCTAAATAATGCTTCCGGGCCAGCGGGCCATTTATAATGTCGAGCCCTGAGAGTCCACAGATTATATTGGTATACGTTTCATCCCTGTGTGATCAAAACTCACTGTTCAATAAAATAATATTTTACCTTGAAAATCAATGCATTCTAATAGCGGGTCAATTTGACCCAGGTGGCGGTTTTAGGTATAAAAAATCTCTGGCGGTTCTAGTGTTAAACACACGTGCTCCTACAGTACAGGTTAGCTTTTAATTTTTTGCAAGGCTACCTAATGTAAACAAAGACGAGATTACGTCCAAAACACGTCAGGCATTGTTTCTGATAGCAACTTTCTGTGGGTCTGCCGCCGAGCAAATCTGTATCCGCTCGTTGTACCCCCATTTTTAAAAGATTCAGGTACGGAGGAAAAGAGAAAGGGTTTTATTTTCTGACGCTATGTGAGTTCCCCGACACACCGGGGACACATATTTATGTATATAAGACATCAAAAAGTGCATTTTGTGTGCATGATAGGTCCCCTTTAAATTCAAGCAGGACCAATTTAAATCCAAATCCCGGATGACATTAATCACAGCAGAAGTTTTGACTTATCATGTGAAGCTCATGCCATTTACGATAGCTCTGTTCTATATAAGTATCTTAGTAAGCCAAACCAGTGAGAAAGCTTGCTGTGCACAATAGCTTGAACCTGGAACCCTCCAAATGAAATGCATCACTATTGTTGGGTAGTGGTGGGATAGATTTCATAGCTGGTTATCCCTAAACTGTAGGACTATCTACATGGCTGGATATAGCAAGGAATAAAATAGAATGTGGTGTAATACCTATATTTTGATTTTATCTTCTCTGTTTCACCCCCCCATGAAAAATGCTAAGAGAAAAGGACTGTTGACTGTGACATTTTTTCACTACCGATGCCAATAACAATACCTGATATTTGTGTATCTATGTATCACTTTTTTACACACCATCAGAGAAGGAAGGTTGGGATAACACCTGGAGACAAACAGTATGTTCTGTTTCACTGATTGGTCCATCCTCCAACTCCTGGACAGCTTGGCTTCCAGCTTGTAGACAATCTTTCCATGAGGTCCATTGAAGGATGAAGGCACGCTTCTGAAATAGAGAACCAGCCGAATAATTGTTATATAATCTGAAATGAATTAACATCAATAATTTAAATTGAATCAAATTCAGTTATGTGCTGAGATTGGCTATGTGTTCCTGTTTGCAAAGAAAAACACGGTGAACGTGCAAACATCCTGTTTTGGTTGATTGTCTTGTGCGCTTACCCTTGTGGAATGTTTAAGCTGAATTTGTAGACATGGATTCCTTTGGGAAGTACAGTGTCTAAAAGGAAAATGGATTTTAGTGTTAATATTTACAGTGGTAACCCTGCTGTTAGTAGCTAACAAATAAATATGTTAGTAATGAACAGATTGGTGGAAAATAACACATGCACTTTGGCGTAGGCTCCACAGGGACGAAAACGGGTTGAATCCGCATATTTCTCATGCGTATAGCCAGTGGCGGCTGGTGGAAAATATTTTAGGTGGGGCTGTGGAAATGGTGATCAAACAATACTAGAGGGGTCCGGGGGGATGCTCCCCCGGTAATTTTTTTTGAGAAAAGACCCCTTAAATCATGACTTCTGGTGATGTTAGAGGGGGGGAGAAGGACAATTTGAGGCTTAAAAATATGAGAAGACTGATCAATACCTCCATAACTTCAGTGTGGTTAGCTATGAATCTTCCAAAACTTCCAAACACCTTGTCCTGGACATAGTTTCTACAGCATAAACTGTGCAACAGTACAGTAGGCCCACACAAACTGCAGAACACCGGGGCTTTGGGAACACTGATTTAATTCCCATTTAACCTGTTAAGGGGCTTTTTTCCCCCGTTTTTTTTCTCACGAAACTGTGTCTCAGGGCTTCTTAAAATGTAATAAACTATTCATGTGTCCTACTCAGAGGAAACGCATCTAACTGATGATATGAACCATGTTTACCGAAACAAAACACAAGTCTCACAAGAAGCGTCTAAATGAGCCCTGAGCGAAAAAATGCTAACGCACTCTAGGTATAAATCAATCGATATACTTATCGGATATGCACAAACAAGCTTACAAGCTGAGATTCCACATATTCTAGAAATATAAGTATCATCACTGAGCGATCAGAACTCGCGACAGGGGAAGCAAATACAGACATCACACGACGTAGCAAAACATGGAGATATGCTCACCTTTTGCAGAATAACAATTCTGATCAAAAACGAGAAAAACGCAGCTGAAGGTTAATCCATAAATTAATCCAATGTGTCTGTCACTTTGAAAAATGATTGATGATCCATAATTCCATTTTTATGTCAAAAACTGAGTTTTCATTAGCTGCTAAATGGTAGCTTCCAGAGTGTATGACAGCTTCCTGTTTTGTCTCCTTGGATACGAGTCCAAACAACTCACAGACTTCACCGGGCGCTCACGTAGGAGCCCTGTGACCATCATATTTGACGACGCTGATTGGCTGAAATTATGTTTTCGCGGCATAGTTTACACGTTACATATAGCAACAGTCAGCTGCTAGTGGCTGCTGCTGCACTGGTTGAGGGCTCCTCTCTTAGCGCCCAGACGAGAGAAGGTACACGGGCAAGGCCAGGCAGGAAACATGTGACTTATCAGTAACTTTAGACATCGTAACACAATTTTAAACGAGATTTTATTGTAGATTATACATTTTAACTGATACCAATGATATAATATTTACCTTGTTCATTAAAAAAAAAAATAAAAAAAAAAATATTTTTTAAAATATATTTTTTATTTTTATTTTTAAATATGGGAAGAGGTGGGGCGGCGCCCCTAGCGCCCCTATGGACCGGCCGCCACTGCGTATAGCCCTTTAAGCTCGACGACGCCGTAACGGAAACGTAGAAACAGACCCCGCAAACGACAACGGGTCCAAAGGTGGATAGATCTGGGAACGGAGCGCTCTGGGGGGTCCAACGGGGCCGTGGGGTCGCCTATACGGTCATCCGTTTCATAGCCCCGCCTCTCCCCACCTCTTCGCGTACCCCGCATCATTGCTGATGTGTTTCGTTAACAACAACAATAGCTATTTTAATTACCTCTCAAACTACCTAAACTAGTTATAAATATGTTTATTTTTACTGTCGAGTCATCATTACTGGATCAGCTGCTGCATGAGACAGACACTGACGCTGTGAGAAGAGAGGAAAAAGAGACAGGCTCTGTGTATTTTATTATCATATATCATTATATCGTCGTTATTCATTTGTTTTAAAGCTCAATAAATAACAAAGAAGACCTTTGACCGGCACTTTTATAATTTTGTCCGGAAGATTTAAACTTTAACACACGTTGACCGGCGAAAAACTCTGCCCGGATCCCTCGGCCCCCACCGCGGAGAATAAACAGAAGTGCAGCCATGACAACCATTCTTCTTCGCTGCTTTTGTGGAGGAAGTTGCTGCTTTTGTGGAGGAAGTTACAGCGCCACGTACAGGCTCGGCATATGTACTGCAGCTTTTCCAGCGGTTGGATGTAAACGGAGCCGTCTCGTGGAGCTTGACACAATCCGGTGTATATTGCGTGTGGGCGGAAGGTTTTTTGCGGTTGCGTTTGCGTTACTCCGATGCGTTTTGCCGTATGGGTTCCCGTGGAGCTGGGGCCTTTATCTTAGATTTACAATGAAATGCTTGCTCTACATTTTATTATTACATAATAGGACAAAGTTCTAATTTTGCCCTATTATGTAATCGTCATAGTTAAAATGTGCTCCTGATTAACCAACTATGTAATTTGACATATTCCATGTATTTAAATGAAGTTAAACTACCTTTAATTATATTGTTTTAATATTGTGTTATCAGTGTGAGAAAAAGTTTTTAGAGAGTACTTGTCCATGGACAAGTGAGTTTGGCAATTTACTTGTCCGAATACATTTTTCACTTGTCCAGAATGGACAAAAATTGGGGCCACTGGAATCTTCTTCTTCGCCAACGTATTTTACTTTTCCCCACGATTTTTACGTCACCGCTAACGTAAGTGAGCGGTAAGATTTTACTGCATCACACATACCTAGGGTTGGGTATAGTTTGGATTTTAACGATTCCGGTTCTGCTTTTCGATTCCGATTATTTTTGGTTCTTGATTCCGGTTCTTTGAGAGGGTAAAAATAAGTCCCATGACAAACTGGGAGAAAAACATATTTATGAAAACATTAAGTCAAATCTGTATTCCTATTTAGAAATCACTTCATACTGTTTAATTTCTTACGGTTATTGAATACAATTATATAAAAATAATCTCTGCATTGTTTAGTTAGTTCTATGTGGTGCAGTTTGAGAATGTACAATTGGCCCAGTCTCCTCTGATGTTACACTGCAACCTGCCTGTGAGACAGAGTCCAACCACACATGTCCAACACATAGGCCTAATAATAATAATACATTATATTTATAGCCTATAGGCCTAGCGCTTTTCTACAACTCAAAGACGCTTGCATGCTTACACATGTCCTGCAATACACATGCTGCAGCTGCCCAGCTGCTCACTGTTTGTAAAAGTAAATAAATACTATTTTCATTTCAATAATGTATTTTCTATACCCTGCTTCATAAACAATACTGACATCCCTGTGCTCCTCCGAGTCTGGGGGTCGGGGGATGTGAGGACAGCGCGAGGACACAGACAGGGAGGCTGATTTACTTCATAAAGGAAATGGCGGTCAATATTAACAACATAGGAGCTAAAACGCTTAATAACCTTCATTACGTGTTAAAGAAAGAACATAAGAAAGTTTGACAAAGATTAGGCTGTTAAACGGGCAGCGGGTCCGCTCTGTGTAGAAAGAGAGAGGGAGAGAGAGAGACGCTGAACTGCACCGTGCAGCGATCAGATGATCCGGAGCAGAGAGAGAGAGCTGCGGTCCGCGGGGCTCGGCCTCCTGTCCTCACAACTCTTATTAATCCCGGTACCGGACAATTGTTATTTGTTCCTACTCGGAACCGAGTTTTGCTTCCCAACCCTGCCACTGTGCTACACGTCCGGCACTGCCCCGCCCCCGTCTAACAGTACAGAAAGCGGCGAGATGCATTTCCTTAGGAATCGACAAGCAGAACCGAAACTAACATTTCTAAACGAACAATGGCGGACACGGACAATTTGCGAATGAGTTCTCCATTTTGTAAACTGAGTTTATCAATAATTTGTCAATAAATGAGGGCTAAAAACGTCACTTGTCCGCTGGACAAGTCAATTGAAAGATCTACTTGTCCGACATTGTAAATAACACGTCCCGGGCGGTGGGACGGGTACTTTTTCGCACACTGGTTATTACCACTTTTTTATAGCTATGAATATTTTAACATCACTGACTTATCGACCATGAACATCAATGGACAAAAAGAAAAGAGCAAACCGCATTCAGCAGTCTTTCTAAAACTTATTCAACATATTTCCCCCTTTGAAATATTTGTGTAGCCCTGATCAACTAAAATCATTTTGGGGGAGTAGCGCATATAACTATGCCTTTTGCATAAAAATGTGAAGAAAAAGACACCTGTTACAAACAACAACCATTAAATAGACGTTATTGACAAAATAAGAGATAAATGCAGCAGAGTAACTAGTATACATTTACTCAAGTACTGTACTTAAGTACAATTTTGAGATAAATACTTTCCATTTTATGCTACTTTGTACTTCTACTCCACGACATTTATTTGTTTTAGTTACTTTACAGATTTGTATTAATGTGAAATATAATCAACACTTAAAAAGGACTTTAGTTAAACATGGATTCAATTCACAAGCTAGCTAAAACTAGCTGCACCTTTACCAGCTGTGATAAACACATAATTGTAATCGACACATATAATATTATTCTGAAATGGATTATTCTGCAAATTCTTTTTTATTTTTACTTGAGTAACATTTTGAATGCAGGACTTTTACTTGTACAGTAACAGAGTATTCCTACACTCTCGTAGTTCTACTTTTACTGAAGTCCAAGATCTGAGTACTTCTCCCACCTCTGGATAAACGGTAAGGCTTTATCCAGTCTTTAGGACTCCTCAAAGTGCAAGTCATCCTTCACCCATTCACACACATGCATACAGAGGCAGGGCACATCCATGCAGGACTCAAGTATCCCATAGGGGTCCTAGTACCCCCGTTAGAAAAACACTGGGTTAAGGCATACATAAATGACAAGAAATGTAGCGCCTACCCTTGGAGGTCTCTGGGAATAAAAACTGCTTTAGTTTGAAATATCTCTTATGAGCAGAGTATGTATTTCTGTCATCGCTGCTCCCGTCCGTCCAATGTACGTTTGCATCTCCTGTTGCTTTAATAAAAAAGCTATTTACTTTGACCTGCTTTAACAAGGCCAGGGTTACTTTCCCAGAGATAGTGTCACCCTCCGAAAACGTCCCCTGCTCATTCAGCGCGTCATAAGTCAAAGTTAAACTTTGAATCGAAGGCATTGTTTTTGCGAGCGTAAGTAGGATTAATAAGTAAAATAAATAAAACCATGTGATTGATCCAACTTCTCGTTTCCAAATACTTCCCTACTATACCTACTACTACTACCTAATACTGATGGCGTCTGGTCTGTTGAAGACACGCCCTGCGAAAGTCTCAAAGACCTCTATATGGCGGCAAATCTCTGTCATAAATCGCGAGGGCATATGAGATCCACGCGAGCACAAGTCAAGCAGCCGCGGACGTATATTATTTTCGCGAGCACTAAAACGGCACTCGCGCGAGAGCAATATTGAAGCCTGCAGGGGAGAAACATGCCTTGAGCATGTACAGCATCTACATGAGCTCTCCTGCGCCCTCGCGAGCAATTCCTGCTCTTCTGCTCGTGAAACTCTGGCCTGCTCTCACTCGCGGAGAAATTTTAGGAAGTGGGCGTACCGTGTCCCAGTAACGCCAAATCTAATTGGTTACACCCCTCCTCTTTTATGATTGGCCGTTGTCTGGATTTAAACCAGGAAGTACTGTTTGTCCCTCTCCAAACCATGGATGTATAATAAGAGCTCCAAACCTGCTCCAAACGTGATGAAATATGGCTGTGGAAACGTCTCACGTAAGTTACTTTACTTTACTAATGATTGTTTTAATTAAAGGCATGCTTTTGTATTCTGTGGTTATTCCACAAGAGCCGTCCTTACTTATAAATGGATTGAGTTTTTTTAGATAATACATTTTTATACATATTTTTAAAGATAAGAACCAATTACCTTTTCGGTCTTGACATATGATAATATAAAATGTAGCTTTCAAAAACTGAATTTGGAATTAATAATTTTGATTACTTTAGCAAAATATTTTCACAAATGTCGCTTTTTCAAAATGTCCCCAGTTTTTATTGCCTTTCTCAAAGAAATAATACTACACAAAAAAAGTATAAAATGATGCAAATGTAAAAAAGCCCAAGAATTTTGCAAGTTTCTTGGCACTTTAATTTCTGAATGACCACTTTTTTTTCTGTTCAAATGCCCTCAGCTTATTTTTTGGAATGTTTATGATGAACATTGATGTTTATGTGCCTTATTCTGTATTTAACATAATTGTTTCAATAAAGATTGACCACATTTCTTAAAAATATAATTAAATACAAATAAAATAGTGAATAGATAATTGTGGTATAGCGTCATAACTGAATTAACAAACTCTGACCAGAAGGAAATATTAGCTCCACCTGAAAAAAGGACTGTTACACCTTAGTTAGGGTTTACAAACACATATATTCAAGGAATCTTCCTCAAGTATTCATTTAGTTAATTAAAGTGTACTTTATTTTTCTTCACAGCATATTCTGAAACGGCAGATCCTGGAGAGACTCCTGTCGAAGTTTGAGCTTGCACTCATTCGAGCACCACTTGACCTGGATTTCCTGGAGTTTGCATGTCGCCAGGAGCTGTACCTCCTGCAAGCACTTTCGAGACATGTTGACATACCGCAAGGAATAATCCAAGCTCTTCAAGAGCTGTTTGGACTACTTAGGCAATATTTCGATTCAGATGCCCCAAATACAGCAGTGGGATCAGTTATTGGTCTAAGAGGACGTCCTAAATTTGAAATTGAGAGGCAGCAGTTGGTTGAGATGTTGGGGACAAACCTATCGGTGCCTTGCATTGCAAAACTGCTAGGTGTTTCTTCCAGTACAATCTTTAGAAGGATGAGAGAGTTTGGCTTATCTGTTTCAGAACTTTATAGCTCCATCAGCGATGAGGAGTTGGATAACGTGGTCATATCTATCAAGAATGACATGCCCACTGCTGGATACCGAATGGTCAAAGGACGGTTGTTATCTATTGGTCTACGTGTACAATGGACAAGAATGGCTGCCTCAATGCATCGAGTGGATTCCATAGGCATCCTCTCCAGACTGGCTAGTCTGGGCTGTGTTGTGAGGAGAACATATTCAGTGCGAGGGCCTCTCTCGCTTGTGCACGTGGATACCAACCACAAATTGATACGGTAGTGGTATTTATATTTCGCTAAGTGATTAAGAAATAATCTCTTTGTAATGTCCCAGATTTGGAGAATCGGTGTTTCAATTCCAGAGTGCTATAATAGTTTGTTCTTTGGTTTTTCAGTTAATGTATAACATTGTCTTATTTGGTGGAGTGGACGGGTATTCGAGAAAGGTAAGACTGCATTTCACTTCAGTAGACACACATTAAACAAACATGTATTTTTTGTACGAGTTTACTGCTAGCTACTTAAAACCACAAAAGAGGTCCCAACGCTGTGTCCTGGCTTTGGTCCAAATGGAGAAAGTGTATGGACTAAAAAGGAAGCAGCAAAGTCAAAGTAGATATAAAGGAGATTTTGTGCATTGCCTATTTTTGCTGCACAAGTATTATGAGTCAGTATACTGTATGTCAGTATTGTTTGCTTATTTCTATTGCAACAGGAATTCTTTAATCTCTGCATTTTTTCCCCTATAATACACAGTTTAACAGAATGTTGTCTAGTTATTGTGTGTAATTGCCCTATTCTTAAATATTCTCTGCAGGTAATGTACTTGGGTGCTTCGACCAACAACCGTGCGTCAACAGCCTATGGCTTCTTCCTAGAGGCAACACAAAGACATGGAGTGCCTTTAAGGTGAATTCACAGAAAAAAGCACACTCTTTGGAGAGCTAGCTCAATACTGTGACACTTTTGGATGAATATTTTCTTTGACAGTCCTTTGGTCAACTGTGTACATTTCAGGGTCAGAGGAGACCAAGGAGTAGAAAACGTACAGATAGCGAGATTCATGTTTTCGGTTCGCGGCACCGACCGTGGAAGCTTCATCTCTGGTAAAAGTGTTCATAACCAGAGGTAAATTGCAGCATCTCTAGTAACTCAATTAGTGAGGTGGAATTATCTGATGTGTAGACCAAGCACCTTGCACTTAACCCATGCTAGGCCAGCATGAAAATAGATCACTTGAACTGGTTTTCCCTAAACCATGTATTTTCATCCATAGGATTGAGCGTCTTTGGCGTGATGTACGAGTCATTGTCACCAACAAGTACTCTGCGATACTGCTCTCCCTCGAAGAGGATGGTCTGCTCGACATCTCATCAACAAACGACCTCTTCTGTGTGCACTACATTATTCTTCCCCGACTTCAGATGGACTTGGGGATTTTTACAGAAGGCTGGAACCATCATCCACTCAGCACTGAACGGAACCAATGTCCAGAGCAGTTATGGCAACTTGGACTGATGCAGACAAACATTGATCAGCCGGAGAGCCCTGAGGTATTGATCTCGTTTCAGCATTAACCTCTCATTGTTAGAAGCCTAGTTACGTTTATTGGATTGTCATTGAAGATATTAATTACTTACCATTTACTTTGTGTAATATATATTGTCAAAATATTACTTTCTTTCCCTACTCTTGGCATGACCATTTTCTGGGCATTTTATTCAGTTTGTGTTATTTTAACTTTGTAAAAAATAACACGAACTATTACTTGATGTCATTGTTCCACTTTGTTTATAAGACATACATTTATTTCACCCAAGTGTTCAAAACCTCTGTTATGGTTATTAGGAGCCAGATGTTGACTGGGAAATTGCTGCTGACCACGATGGAGAAGAGGATGCAGGGATTGTCGTCCCCGAATTCGACTGCCCTTTGAGTCCAGAAGACATAACTGAACTTCAATCAATATTTCAGCAAATTGACCCAAACACTCCGGTCAAGGAACTGTACTTACTCTGCCGTGAGTATGTAGCTGAAAGATGTGGCTCTTAAGAAATACAGCTCCCTTGAATGACACAGATGAGGGTAAACCTAGCCTTAAGCCTCATAGTAGGAATATAATGGGGAAACAGTTTAAGTTAGTAAGGTGTATTATATGTGTATTACAGTGACTATAAGAGGTGGAAGAAGTACTTAACTAAAAGTAGAAATACCTAAATGTAACAATACTCTGTTCCAAGTAAAAGTCCTGTGTTCAAAGTGTTACTTAAGTAAAAGTACCAAGAGTAAAGTTACTTGGCACAACTGGTGACAATTGAAACAACAATCGACACAAAATACAGCTCAAAAGTATAATGGTTCCCCAACTTCACCATTTGTTTCAAAAACATTTTGACTGGAACAGTATGTGATGTCACTTGAAAGTTTGACTGTATAGTAACATTCTCATCTTGAACAAATGAAAACCTTGTCAAATAAAGTGCAATAAAGACTGTTTTAACAGAAAACATCGATTCTATGAATCTTATGAACGACTAAACTCCCTGCTACTTATAACAGCCTGTGTTATAATGCTCAGGAACTCCGGATATGAGCCGAGGTGCCTTGTCGGAAAGGTAATAGAGTTGGAGCATGCATTAACTACTGGAAAGCATACAGTGTGTGTACCATAGTGCACGCTGCAATCGTGGTCGAATTCAATTAGGATTTTAAATCTCTCTCTCTCTGTTGAGGTGATGGGGACATGTGCCTGCCCCGTAAGCCATTGAAGGAAGCAGCCAACAGTGATCTTGTGTTTTTCCTTCATCTCCTCTTTATCTCTCGCCGGTTCAACTGTAGACTCTGTCTCTCTTGAGTCTCCATCATCAAGATCACTCTCTGTTGTTATCTTCACAGGGGTCCCCCTCTCTTCAACCACGAAGCTCTTTTCTTCCTCTTAAAACAAGTTGAAAGTTAATACAAAGAAATGCATATCTTCACCTAAGCAATGTCAATAAATATGGCTATTGTTTTTAAATTGTTTTTTATGTGGATATTTTGAAGAAGAAAACCTCATTAGCCAGTCCTGCTTTAGTTATCATTGTTTCATCGCAACTATCATGATGCAAAGTTGTGTTTAAACTGAGACATGTAAACATGAATAAAACAGGTATACAAAGCTGTCATTGAGTTGCCTGTCGTAATCGGGGGTACAATTCAAGAACAAATACGTTTATAAAATGTCAGGGCAGTAGTATCACCTTCATCTTCAATGTTTTGGATGAAGTCTTGCAAAAAGTTTACAATCCTCGATTCCCTCTGGCGTCGCAGCGAGCCCAGCTCACTGAAGACTGGAGATATGGCTCCCATCAGGAATTCAGCATCCGGCTTGGAGAGAGGAAAAAATAAAATGGTGTATGCTCAAAGTTGGATGAGCTTAACCCTTTAATTGCCAGACCAAGAAAAAAAGCTATGGAAAAATTATTAGTTTGCATTTTTTTATCAAATGGGCCACACATAACCAAACACATTTTTTTAAAAAGGTATCAATATTGATATTGATATAAAAAGTAATGTAAAGTGTTTTTCACAATAAAAAAAAGACGTGCTCATCTTACTGTAGATGCTGAATTGGCCTAAGAAGAAACCACTGGCCTAACAGCAAATGTCTATATCCTGTGTTGGCCTAACTTGCTCATCTGTGTGCAACTTTGGGCTGAATGCCATGCATGAAAGGTGCTATATAAATTATTATCACTCTTTCACTCTGAGACTCATAAGGCAGTACTAGATTTAGTAATATTACCATGAATCTAGCCATTTATTTACCATATTTTATTGGAAAACATCTCTGAAACTCTGAAAAAGTCATATTGCTAGTTTACCATAAAAGGCCAATTCGACCGGTTGGTTGAGCATATTTTCAAAAAAATAATTACACCCTTGTTAAAACTTTTTTTGTGCATCTAGTTATCTAAATATGTACACTCGGTGCTCTGACAATAAAATATGTCAAAGATTATATGGTTACCTTACAAAAGTTGACCAAAAAGAGTGATTTCTTCAGCAGTGATTTTTTAGCATGCCAACTTTCTCAGTGGAAGCTAGCTGAAGGGCTTTCTGTTCAAACCACAGTGACATCTAGAGGTTGTTTTGTGCATAACATGTCAACCAAAGGGTAGAGCTGGCTGAATCAGATGGAGTTACACTTTAAAAAAAAAATGTCAACAAAATATCAAGACACAAAATGTGCTCTACCAAATGGTGGCGCTGGCTGTTAAAAGGTTAAGGTTTGAAATGCAGTGGTAAAATCAGCTAGAGACATAATACTGACCTTTTCATGAAGGCCAGGGACGAACAGATCCCTGAAGTTGTGTGGTTGTTGTACAATCATCCCGCACAAGCCATACAGCTTCATGCCTGAGCATATCTGCTGCAGCATTGGTAGGATGCGGACCGATGAGTGCAAGATAATTGCCCTATAATTCAGTAACAGATAACAGCAATAATATAAAATCATACATAAAAAAGGGAAAGAGTGACTGCACACTCAATATGAGTGTAAAAGAATAATTGATTGGTTTTAAACATGGGTTGTTATGGGTTAAATCACTTAGCATATGCACATACTTTATTATTTCTTCCTTCCTCTCCCACGTTGCAGGACCACTGTACCCGCATGCTGTTATCCGATCCAGAAGATCGTACATAGCTTCAGGTTCAGCCATCTCAACCTTTGCAATTGGAAAAACAGCATCACACAGTAAGTCATGGGAGCCTTAGCTTATTTTAAGAATTAGAGAATATTCACACTACAAAGAGGTGTGTGTGTGTCAACCATACTAAAACAAACTTCATGTTATATGAAGGAGTATCTGAGGAGAAGAAAAATATTACCTCTTCCATAAGCTGGCTGAGCTCTGGATCAGTCACATCTTCCTTGGAAATGGAATCTCTATCCATCTCCCCAGTGGATATGTATCCATAGCACCACTCTCTGAAAAAGTTAGGTGGAGGACCACCTTGTACTATACTGACTGCCATAATCTCTCCAGCTGTCCTGCATTAACAAAGTGTAATCATGCATAGACATTATTCATAAATAAAATAAACATGGAAAAGATATTGCAGAACACAATTCTACATACTTGAAATGCTCTTTGTGGTAGTCAGTAATTGAGTACTTGGGGGCCCTCTGTGGGCCAAGAGTAGCACATATGTCTTATTGTTGTTTTTATTTTAAGTGGAGCCATCAAAAATGAGAATTGCCTCAGGAATGCAAGCTTTGTTTCTATGAGCATGGTCAAATGGAGACCACATCCATAAAACTATCAAGATGACCCACAGCCCGTGCCGACTGGAGTCAATGAGGTACTTTTCCCAGTACATTGACTACAAAGTCTTTGAAGATCTGGAAAGATTCACCAAAAACCAAACTAGTTTTTTAGTGACCAAATAAACAGCAATGTTCAGATCAATTACTTATTTATGTTTTAAATAAAGGTGAATGTATTATTGTATTAATATCACTCTATAACCATAGGTCCCGACGTCCTCTACAGTGGACATACTGTAACATTTAAAAATTAAATTAAATTAAAAAAGTCTAAATAGCAAGATGTTTTTTTTTTTAACCCTAAATAGGTAGGAAATCACAAAAAAAAGTTAGTGAATTAATTTAAATTTTCCGCACTCTCGCGGGAATATCTCCGCAATGGAGCGGGCTTAAGTTTCACTTTCGATTGCACACGTTAATGTATATGCACACGTTATTATTATTAATAATAATAATAATAATAATAATAAAAAATTGATAAAATAAATAAATACATTTGTTTTAATTTTCAATTTTAATTTTGTAAGAAGAGATTTGGTTGGTAGACCTAATGCGCATGTCAGAGGCCACGATCAAGTGGGAGGGAGCCCCATTTTTGCCGTGCGTGCAGTGATAGAACAGACCAACATCAGAGCCCCTCTATGTTCTATATATACGGCGCTGACCAACATAAGTCACCGTCTGCCCAAAAATGTTCCTCTCGGCTTCAGTAAGTCCTATTAAGCTGTTTTATTTTCAGTAATATTATAATTTGAGGTACCCGTCTGTAGACACAAATAGCCACACCATTTTTTCTTCTTCTAGTGGCTAACATGGCTAGCTAACGCTCTGGAAATCAACTCAGTGAATGTCGTCCAAGTAAATGCTCCTTACTTTGTTGTTGTTACAAGTTAATATCGGTTAAATCCTCTACATTGACAGCATACGTGGCACTTTATATTTGACAAGTCTATAGCTCAATTTCATGTTGTTAAACCTTTACATGACACTGGTGTATAATCTCTATATCCGAAAATGTTTGGGGCTTAATTAGTGAGGGCCTCGCGCGCTGAGTTTAACCCTTTCACGCATAGAGGCTACTACAGTGAGTAGTATGAAGCTGCAGCCTCGGAGGATGCACTCTCAGGACCGCATGCACTCTCAGGACCGCACTCTCTCAGGACCCTAGTTGTTTTGCAACATCGCCACCTAATGAGCAGGAGACATGAATATGAACGACAACGCAGAGAGTGTGAGTAGTGTGAAGTGCTTTTAAAGTTTTATTTGTTTAACATTAATAACAATTCCGGTGTCTTGAAATGAAGTGTGATTAGCTAACATGATAGCTTCTAACAGTATTAAAGGCACTAAAAACAATTATTTGTTAGCTATAGCTTTCGGCAAAAGCTAATGCTAATAGCATTAGCTTCATTAGCATATTTGATTATTTGTTTAATGAAACTGTAGCGTGATTTTGGCAAGCCCAACTAGGTGTCCTACATTAATTGTTGATTTAAAGGGCCCATGTCATGGCCATTTCCACTGATCATAATTACATTGTTGAGGTATACTAAAATAGATTTATACTGTGCAATTTTCCAAACTCACATTGGTTTTGCATACAGCATCTCTGTCAAGCATGTGTATTCAGCAGTATTCACTTTCTCCACTAAACGACTCGTTGGAGCTCTTGCCCCCCCCTCCCTGTGAGCCTAGTGTGCTCCGATTGGTCAGCTCGGCCACTCTGTTCTGATTAGTCAACCACCAGAGAGGCTGCGCCCATGTCTAAACGGCTGCTCTCAGCCGAACATCAGTCTTATCATGGCGTCGGTACAGCCGTATATTTTATACGCCAACTAACCGAACTGAACCTACAACTGTTGTTATAGAAGAGTGTGACGGCCCCAGGGCCTTTGTGCAGGTGTGTTGCAGGGCTTACGGTGGGGTGGAGCTGAAGAGGGTAATCAGCGCGATCACGGACACCTCCGTAGCCGGTGCTATTAATCCCAGCGGCCCGGAGTCTCTCTCCAAAGCGGCTGCAGAAGGACGAACTGAGCGACCCTCTCCCCTCGACCACCTATCTCTGCATTTACCACAATAAATGTGCCGTGGTTTTGTAAACTCGTGTATGTCTCCTTGCCTTTCCGTTGTGGCCTACGAGCCGGTCATAACAAAGAGTAAGTTATTTTTACCTGTAATAAACTACTACTGTTTGATGAGAAATCAAATCATGGTTTGCTATATATGAATTCAGGGAAGAAAGGATAGGCCTACTAAGTATTTCCATTAAACTTTATTTTTAGAAATGTACAAAATGAACATAAATATACATATATACACACGGTATATCATCCATTCCTCCTCGCATCTTGCCTGCGCACAGCCGGTGCGGTGCCTTTTAGCACGAGGCCTCAGTAGTAGTAGAAGTCCCGTCCCCGTCATGGATTGTCCGCCAGGATCAGGCTGGACGAAATCAAATGCAAATCACAAAATATTAGAGAAACTTAGTTGTTTTAGATTCGTTAGTAGTAGTAATGAACAGCTTGACTGCTAATATGCTAACCTAGCTTTGTTTACCTTGGTAGCTAACACGATATGAACGTTAGCTTGGAGGAAAGGCAACTATAATGCAGTGTAATAAAACTACTATGAACAAAAGCTAGTGGTTCATATTAGGCTAGCAATAACGTGTTTATAATTGCAATCGTATACGGGTATTCTGCTACCATACAATGTAACTTGCATGAATACATTGTTTTGCGCTAGCATACAGCTAGCCTTGTTAGCTACATGCAGTATATGTACTGTCACAATGTACGGTAAATCACCCGGAGTATACTGTATGAGTATTCCGTGTGTGTGACTGCAGACATTCTCCTGCCATGACAAACATGTAAGGCCATCTGCTGACATTGTAGTTGATATATTTAAACGCTAGCAACGTAGCATCACAAAATGTTTTTCCGACCAAACCTAGCTCTAGCTCCGTGTGTTAGATCGGTTGCATACACGCTACGCCAGCTATAATGTAATTACGTTTCGCGACTGACCGCACGGCAAATCACCCGGAGTATACTGTCAATAGGTATTTTGTGTGTGAATGCAGACATTCTCCTGCTATGAGATACATGTATGCAAGGCCATCTGCTGATATTAGAGTTGATATATGGAAACTCTAGCAACTTAGTTAGCACAGTTAGCACTGTGTCAATGGCTTAGCAGTCCAACACAGTTTACACATTTAAACAGTCTTGTTTGATAAATACACAAATAACAATGCAAACTTACAGGTTGTATACCCGGATCTTCCCCTGCTCCAAACGGTCCAAACAAGCTGTGCATATCCGGCCTCAAACTGGGCAATGTTTTGGAAGCTTTCGTCTGTGAAATGCCGGTTCTTCGAACCTCTGGAGGAGGAACACGCCGCTGCTGGTGTGGCCATAGCTCTTCGGGATTGGTCCATTTCGTTCCGGGTACCGCATGACATCAGGCGGTACCCGGAAGAATCAAATGGGCAGTGACGTATCTCCAACGAGGCGTTTTGGGGAGGTATTTTCTGTGTTAGAGTTTTACTCGCTACAGGGTGTACTTTGAGGGTTTTGACTCTGCACACCGTTTACATGCATAAAAACCTTCATAACACACAAGGGGACGGGTAATAACCGGAAAAGCATGACATGGGAGCTTTAATCACTAATTACAGTAAGAGTGTGAGTAATGTGAATCATGTTGTTTGTTTAAAGTTAACAACTATTCTGGTGTATTCAATTGGACAGCAATACAAGCAACACGTGCTAAATGTCATCTGTTAGCCTATGATGACTCGCTGCAAAACCAACTGTTAGCCTTTTTGTTTATTTGTTTAATGAAACCGTATGTTATGGTTATGTTATTTAGCAGAGGCTTTTGTCCAAAGTGACTCACAAAAAACATAAAAGAACCATAATTAACATTAGATTATCAATACAAATAGTTACATAGTCAGTTACATTACGTATTACATTTTTAACAGGGTAATTAGTCATCTGTAACCTACATTTAAAAAAAGTAAACTTCCCAACCCTGATCATTAATTATAGTCAGCTAATTAATTAAACTTCAAAGGATGACAAAAGCATGTCAATATGATCTGTCTGTCCGCTACATTAAATCAGCAGTAGCCTAATATAAGTTCTGTCTTCAGTGTAAATGCTTCTTTAATAGTCATTGTATTACTATTTGAATTCATTGTAAATGATCTTAACTGTGCTGACTGCCTGTTTACTGTTTATCAGACAGTCTCATCATTTTGACATGTTTTGTAATATTGCTACTATCCTAGTATTATGAAGTTGATTGACTAAGAGTAAGGTCAGCTACTGTAAATTAAGGAAGGTTTTGTTGTTTTTCTGTCTGAATTGTAATTTTCTTATGACATTCTACTTCAGGTGTCGTCAACTGGAATGTCTTCTCAGAGGGACACAAACAGGAATTTCGGAAGGCCTACCAAATTTCCAGGTGCTTTTACTGCGACAACCTGTATAAGGACGTTGGCACAGGCTACCGGGGAAGTGGACGGCGAGGAACATTAGAGGGTTTTTACTCAGAAGAGGGCTTCCCGGGGTACTGCAGCTGGAGCTGTTGTCTGGTGTTCACCCCAGTGAAGAATCCACAGTGCCCAATAAATAAAAATGTATTCTGCACTGAAATTCCTCTCGTCAAATTGCATGTTTATCTTTTGCAGCCTGGTGCATAAACACACTAACAGTTGTTTTTGAGTAATCTAGCACCTCTTCAAAGACACATTTGATTTGATTTATTTCGAACGTGTAATACAATAAAAAATATATATATAATAATGAAATGAAACAAGAGAATTATGATACTGTAGAA